CACAGTCCTACTACAGCACTACTGATAGAGTACTGCTACTCTGCTGATCGATCAAAGAGATCAATAATTGTGAAATCAGAATGTCGGTGTCAGAACCTTTATTTCTGTTTGACAGAACTTTCCAACATCGATGCTGCTGTGGTTCAGCTGAAGAGCGGCTGTCCTCTGATCCGGCTGCTGGTTCCGTTCCCTCCTGATGCCAGGCAGCAGATGAATGTGTGTGAAGGAGGAACGTGAAGCAAGGCAGGAAGGAGCTGTAGGTGCCGACCATTTATTCCTCGGTGCTGTGATGTGTAACCGATCAGATGGATCGCTGTGGGCGGGGCATAACAGAGACCATTTGCTTTGAATTACCTCAATTAGATCAGCTGGTTCTAGTTCTGACCTGATTCTGCTGGAGTTTGGTGATACTGTGGGTCAGAGGCAGCACCTCTTTGCTTCTGCTATAATCAATACTATTGATCATTTCTGACTGTGCTGCTAAAGCGCAGAACCACTTTCTCCAACAGCAACAGTCTGCAAATAACTCATTGCTTCTGTTTTCAGATCTAAAAAGACCTACGAGCCTCAGAAATGATGGACAAAGTCCATCCCAGTGCAGCAGGCTGTTTGGTGATAGTATAGTTCCCACATGTTCCTTAAACGCCTCACTAGTCTCCACCAGTTCTTGCAGCTGCTCAAACAGCTGAGAGACCAAACATTAGTTTGAAGGAGTTGTGACGTCACAATTACCTGAAACCAGGTGAGTTTAGTTCCTCTCTGGAGCTCTGTGAGCCGACGAAACACTGAACTGAACTTAGGCTGAAACAGACTGAAACATGTTCAAAGCAGACGATCAATACCTGCTGATATTTGAGCAGAGGCTCCGACAGAAACAAGCGAGGAACCTTTACCTGATGTTTGGTTCCCTCCTGCTGTGACTGTCGACCTCCTGCAGCTCAAACCAAATCTGAAAGTATTCGAGTGTAGAAACCTGCAGCCACGACTGAAACAGAAACATGCCTACGTGTTGTTACGGTCGCATTATAATATGAAACATTCAACTGCTGCAGGTGACCACAGATCAATACATGGATCAATACATTGATCAGTACAATTGATCAATACATTGACCAATACCACCGATCAATACCATGATCAATACATTAATCAATAACATGATCAATACGTTGATCAATATACTGATCAATACCATAATGACTACACTGTTCAGTAAAACCAGTCAATGCATTGATCAATATATTGATCAATACCACGATTAATACCACAATCAATACACTGATCAATACACTGTTGCAGGAGAAACTTAGCAGATTCACCAACAGCAGCTCATCCACATGGATCTCAGGCAGCATCACTGATGAGCACTAAGATGATCAATAATTTGTTGATCAGCTCATACGAGGCCATCATCAAAAGACTGGAGTCACAAATGACAGATCAATACATTGTCATCAGATTGTTTTATGCTCGTGAACACGGATATGAGCCTCAGCTGTATTGCACTGTGATCAATCAAATCAAAACTACTGCAGTTAACGATCAATTTCATTATCGATCGATTAAAAAAACCTACGTTGTGTTTTCTGAGCAAAGTCTGACTTAATTTTTATCTTCTGCAGACACAAAATTGAAGCTGCAAAACGAATAAACACCAGCTACAAAGGTGATCAAATGAGTATCCGATCAATTAGCTGATCGATAAAGTGAAGGGAGCAGGTACAGTGAAAACATGGAGTTCACAGTCAGACAAAAACACGAACTCAAGATGGATCAAGACTTTATAAAGAAAACAGAATCACTGTTTAGAATGAAACTGAGACAATCGATCATCAAAGTCCTGACTGATCAATGCAGCGTTACGGTTTCCATTTTACGAACACGCTCCAGTCCTCCGACCAGTAGGTGTCTCTACAACTGGATGAATCCTGAGTAGAATCCATCCACCGGCTCCACCTCGTCCTCTGCAGCAGCGCCGACTGCTCCGGCGGCGTGAACCTTCAGGTGCCCGTTGAGCGAGCGTCGCGCCTGAAAGCTTTTCCCGCAGACGCGGCAGCCATATGGTTTCTCACCAGTGTGGATAAGCATGTGTCTCTTCAGGTCCACGTCCTGCATGAAGCCTTTCCCGCACACCTGGCACAGGTAACGTCGCTCCTTGTTGTGAAAGCGGACGTGTGTGTCGAGCGTCTGTTTCTGTGTGAAGCCTTTCCCACAGAGGCTGCAGGAGAAAGCCCGCTCACCGGTGTGAATCTTCAGGTGTGTTTTCAGGTTGCCGCTCTGGTTGAAAGCCTTCCCACAGTAGCTGCAGGTGTAGGGTTTCTCACCTGTGTGGATCCGCAGGTGCATCAGCAGCGCTGAGTGACCCGGAAAGCACTTTCCACACGTGTCGCAGGTACTGCCAGTGTCACGGTGGGAGCGCAGGTGCACAGCAAGGCTGTCGGCTGATTCATACTGGTGTCCGCAAAGTCCGCAGCAGCGCTCAGCGTCCTGCAGGTGTGTCTCCACGTGTTTCACCAGGAAGCTCTTCCTGTCAAAGGCGACACCGCAAACCTTACAGCAGTACGATGGCGCCGGGCCGCGGTACCTCTTCGATTTGGGGATGACGTCCTTCCGATGAGTCACGATGTGCCGCCGCAGGCTGTGACGCTTGCTGAATTCCTGACCGCAGACACTACACGAATGCACCGCTGCACCACTGTGCTCCTCCATGTGGCGCTCCAGCGAGGTCATGTGACAGAAGGCTCGGCTGCATTCTTTGCATTTGAAGGGCTTCTCGGCGGCGTGCACACGCAGGTGCGATGTCAGGTTGCCCTTCTGGCTGAACTTCTTGCCACAGACGTGGCAGCTGTGTGGCTTCTCGCCGGTGTGCAGCCGCACGTGCAGCTCTTGTGCCAGAATGGAGTGGAAGGTTTTCCCGCAGAATGAGCATGTCTTGCTGTTCAGCTGGTGTTCCTGAATGTGAGCTCTCAGGTTGTTCTCCGAGTCCAAACAATCGCCGCAGTAGCCGCAGCGGTAGTCCGGGTTGTTGGCGCAGGCGTGCAGCACGTGTTTGAGCAGGAAGCCTTTTCCCTGCAGAGAGCGGCCACACACGTAGCAGCTGAACAGCTGAGCAGGACTCGAACGTTTCCGTTTGTTGGTGGCGAGCGGCGGCCGCCCTCTCTTCTTCCTCCTCTGAGAGCCGAGCGCCCGGTTCTGTTCGGCCCAGTCGCTGTCCGGGTCTCCGTCGCTGCTGCCGGACACCGGTGGCTGGTAAGATGGCGAGGGCGGCACGGACACATCGCTGACGTCCTGGTCGATCAGGTCTGCAGGGTCAAGCGGAGGATGGAGGTTCGGGTCACTCACCGACTGCAGAGACTCTAAGGGGACACAACACCTGATTAACATTGATCAATCAATAATCAATACAGGACCCAAAGATTCAACTTCAAAGAGGCTCTGCTCAGGCTCATATCAGCATGTGTGGTCAGAGCAAGTTCTAGCGAATGAAAGGATCATGTTTACCTCCAGAAAATAACAGGATCATCTTATAAACAACATTTATTCTGCCACAATACATGTCATGCGTCTAATTTAGAGTTCTGAGGCTCAGAAATGATGGAAAAAGTCCATTAAAGTGATCAATCTGGACCCTCCTCTGTGGACTTCAAGGACCTGGAGCTCTGGAACATTCACAGTCTGAAGGTAGAACTCTGGTCAGTAGATGAAGGTGCTGCAGAACCAGAACCAGGTGTTCTGAGGAGGTTTGTTCAGACTGAGTTGATTTCATATTGAACAAAGCAGGTGATTTACGGGCTGAACACAGAGATGCTGATCAGCCCATCAGCTTAAAGTTAATTAAAATGTCAGAATCATATCAAAGAACTTGAACATGTAGAGATCATTAAAAAAACAGCTGCTGTGGTCTGAGTTTCTGTGTAGCGCTGACACACACACACACACACACACACACACACTTGCAGATATACATGCGTATAATAAAATGTTCTTCAGTGAATGTTTTTTGGTTTCTTTCCTCTGTGACAGTAAACTGAAGATCTTTGGACTAAACCAGACGTTTGAGGCAACATTGACCTACGTGAAGATTCTCAGTCATACAGATCCTCGTTCTCCAGGTCCTGGTTCTTCTGGTTCTTCTGGTTGTTCTGGTTGTTCTGGTAGTTTAATGGTAGCAGCTGGACCTGCTTGAGTTCCTTGAAGATGTTCCACCTTCATCCAGGAGGCTTCATCAGCTCTGACTGACTAGTTGGGAGTTCCACATCCTGAAGGAGACGTTAACACCTGAGTTTGGGTTTTAATTGGGGGTTTGTTGCTCCTCCCCCTCGTCATGTGACTCGTTAGTGCTCCCCCTGACACAGTGGGGTTCGTTAGGGTCTCTGTGGCTCGGTGTGGATGTGGGTTCATCTTCCTGGGGAGAGATCTGAGGACTGAGCTGTAAACAGGTGATGCCTCAGACCTCCACCTCTGCTGAGGGAAGGTCTCTCCATAACCTGCATGTTCACTATTTAAAGACCTTTAAGAGACCAAACAACTGATCCATGTTTTCTACAAAGTGGTGATGTGTCAGGCAGGGCTTCGCTGTGAATCACCTCCCATCACTGCTGCAAAGGAACTTTCACTTGAGTTCACAGTTTTTATTGTAACAGCACTTCTACATAAAGCAACGTGCTTTTACCTGAATGCAGTGTCTATAAAGTAACGGTACTTTATAGAGTAACGGTGCTGGTACCTGAGTCCAGGTGTTGGTAGCTCCGCCCCTCTCTACCTGTCACCTCAGTGTCTCCCGGTGTGACTGCGCTCGGCTCCGCTCGGCTGTCTCCGGCGGCAGCTACCGGGGACTGACCTGCTCGGTGCAGCCGGACTTCGGGCTTCAGCACGGCATCGAGCAGCCTCCTCTGGCGGCAGATCTCCCGCTCCGACCGCTCCACTCGGTCTTCGTACTCCGCCACGGTTTCCTCCAACAGACCGACGATCTCCTCCGCAGCCGCCGTTAGCCGCTCGGTGAGCAGCGCTCTCAGCGCCGGGAGCTCCGCCGCTTCTTCTCCTTTTTCCAGCTGCAGCAGAAAGTCTTCGGCGGCGGCGCTGATCCGCTCATGGACCGACACCCGCAGCAGCCGCACGGCGCACATTCTGCGGCTTCTCCGCACTCGGAGGCTCCAGAACAAAGAGAGCCAGCGGGGAGGTAAACACTCCGAGTTCCGCGTCGACGACGAGAGCGAAGCGCAGAGACGAGAGCGGAGCGGTGAGAGAAGACAGCGACCCCTGCTGGAGGGAGGCGGCATCACAGCGGCAGGACAGGTGGAGCTCTGAGGACAGGTGGAGTTCTGAGGACAGGTGGAGCTCCGAGGACAGGTGGAGCTC